GCATCAGGTGCGCCACGTGCGCGCCAGGTGCGCCCAGCGCGTCAGGTGCGTCAGGTGCGCCAGGTGCGCCAGGTGCGCCAGGTGTGCCAGGTGCGCGCCAGGTGCGCGCCAGGTGCGCGCCAGGTGCGCGCCAGGTGCGCGCCAGGTGCGCGCCAGGTGCGCGCCAGGTGCGCCAGGTGCGCCAGGTGCGCCAGGTGTGCGCCAGGTGCGCCAGGCGCGCCAGGTGCGTGCCATGCGCGCCAGGCGCGCCAGGCGCGCCAGGTGCGCCAGGTGTGCCAGATGCGCCAGGTGCACCCCGCGAGCCAGGTGCACCAGGTGCGCGCCAAGTGCTCCCAGCGCGCCAGGTGCGCCAGGTGCGCCCAGCGCGTCAGGTGCGCGCCAGGTGCGCGCCAGGTGCGCGCCAGGCGCGCGCCAGGTGCGCCAGTTGCGCCAAGTGTGCGCCACGTGTGCGCCAGGTGCGCGCCAGGTGCGCGCCAGGTGCGCCAGTTGCTCCAGGTGCGCCAGTTGCGCCAGGCGCGCCAAGTGAGCCAGGTGCGCCATGTGCGCCATGTGCGACAGGTGCGCCAGGTGCGCCACGTGCGCCAGGTGCGCCAGGCGCGCCAGGTGCGCCAAGTCTGCGCTAGGTGCGGCAGGTGCGCCACGTGCGCCCAGCGCGCCAGGTGCGCCAGGTGCGCCAGATGCACCAGGTGCGCCAGGTGTGCGCCAGGTGCGCCACGCGCGGCAGGTGCGCCAGGTGCGCGCCAGGTGCTCGCCAGGTGCGCGCCAGGTGCGCGCCAGGTGCGCCAGGTGCGACAGGTGCGACAGGTGCGCCAGGTGCGCCAGGTGCGTCAGGTGCGCCAGGTGCGCGCCAGGTGCGCCCAGCGCGCCAGGTGCGTCAGGCGCGCCCAGCGCGCCAGGTGCGCGCCAGGTGCGCCAAGGGGACAGGGATGCCTCAAAGTGGCTTGCGTAAGGCGCACCCCCGCTGGGCCTCGCAGGAACCCACGAAAGCGGCGACAGCTGCGCAGATCGCAGCCCCGCAGGGGACAGGGAGGCCTCAAAGTGTTCTGCGTATGACGTACCTCCGCTGGGCCTCCCAGGAACCCACGAAAGCGGCGACAGTTGCGCGGATCGCAGCCCCGCAACGGACAGGGAGGCCTCATAGTGATCTGCGTATGACGCACCTCTGCTGGGCCTCCCAGGAACCCACGAAAGTGGCGACGGTTGCGCAGATCGCAGCCCCGCAGGGGACAGGGAGGCCGCATAGTGATCTGCGTATGACGTACCTCCGCTGGGCCTCCCAGGAACCCACGAAAGTGACGACAGCTGCGCAGATCGCAGCCCCGCAGGGGACAGGGAGGCCTCAAAGTGATCTGCGTATGACGTACCCCCGCTGGGCCGCGCAGGAACCAACGAAAGTGGCGACAGTTGCGCAGATCGCAGCCCCGCAGGGGACAGGGAGGCCTCAAAGTGATGTCCGTATGACGCACCTCCGCTGGGCTTCCCGGGAACCCACGAAAGTGGCGATAGTTGCGCAGATCGCAGATCTGCGTAAGTCGTACCTCCGCTGGGCCTCCCAGGAACCAACGAAACTGGCGACAGTTGCGCAGATCGCAGCCCCGCAGGGGACAGCGATGAGCCCACGAAAGTGGCGACGGTTGCGCAGATTGCAGCCCCGCAGGGCGCCGCGAACACAGGAGAGAAGGAGGAGGAGAGGGCGGGAAGTGGATACCACAGTGCTCTATTCAAAACGAGTACCCAACACAAGGAGGGTTGGGAAATATGTGGGGGAGACAGCTAAACTTATCCTGCGAAGTACCCAACCCTTTCTACACAAGTGACAATTGCATTCAGGACCACTCAATACCGAATGACATTTCGGCGCCATGGTATAGATGCGATCTGCGTAGGACGTGCCCCCGCTGAGCCTCCCAGAAGCCCATGCGCGCCAAGTGAGACAAGCGCGCCAGGCGCGCCAGGTGCGCCAGGTGCGCCAGATGCGCCAGGTGCGCCAGGTGAGCCAGGTGCGCCAGGTGCGCCAGGTGCGCCAGGTGCGCCACGTGCGCCAGGTGCGCCAGGCGCCCCAGGCGCGCCAGGTGCGCCAGATGTGCCAGGCGCGCCAGATGCGCCAAGTGTGCGCCAGGTGTGCGCCTGGTGCGCGCCTGGTGTGCCAGGTGCGCCGGGTGCGCCAGGCGCGCCAGGTGCGCCAGGTGCGCCCAGCGCGTAAGGTGCGCGCCAGGTGCGCGCCAGGTGCGCGCCAGGCGCGCGCCAGGTGCGCCAGTTGCGCCAGTTGCACCAGGCGCGCCAGGCGCGGCAGGTGCGCCAGGTGCGGCAGGTGCGCCAGGTGCGCCCAGCGCGCCAGGTGCACCAGGTGCGCGCCAGGTGCCCCCAGCGCGCCAAGTGCGCCAGTTGCGCCCAGCGCGTCAGGTGCGCGCCAGGTGCGCGCCATATGCGCGCCAGGCGCGCTAGTTGCGCCAGGTGTGCGCCACGTGTGCGCCAGGTGCGCGCCAGGTGCGCGCCAGGT